AATTTATTAGGTATTTTCACTTCACTTCTCTAACATTGCAACAATGTAGAAAATGTTTCTTTCGAATTCGGTTTATGGGATTGCAACTCTAGTTATTATTTGTGGGCTATAAATGGGTGAATTATATCAAATGTACATAATTATCTTATATTTTGACACCGTTATTTTTTAAAATTGTTCCAAAATCGGAACAGGGCAGGCCAATAAACGAAATTGAGAGAGTGCAGGAAAAAGAAATTCACAAGTTAACAGATGTGAAACAATTCAAAATAATATAACTTCTTTATCCTAATCATAAATGATATGAAGGTGAGTTTGGTGTCAGTCTATACCCCTGTTGGTTTGAGGCCAAGGTAAGGAATCGATTAATGGTGTACTTAAGTTTCGTGTTTTGTTTTTTGTCGGAAAACAGATTCTTTTAGAAAAGGTGTCAAAATGCAGAGGAGAGGATAAATCGTTTCATATATTTTGGTAATCAAAGTATCGCTCCCAAATGTTGATGGCAGGTCTTGAACGTCTGCTCTCCATTGCAGTAGCCTAGCTAATATAACTTGGTACACTACTGGCAAGTCCTAGGCCTTGCCTACTTACTTTCAATCTTCAACTAGCCTAGGGCCAGGCCCTAGGTATGCCTATGCCTAGGGCCTAGCCCTAGTAGTACACTAGGCTAATTACTAGGCCTAGTCTAGCCTAGGCCTAGGTCGCTTTAACTTTACCGAAGAGTGCCTATAAGTGACAATTGGAAATTAAAAAAGGATATATCATAGCCATATACGTTCTTGTGCAATGAAAACTTACTGAACTCACCGATCCTTTTGTTTTCCAAGATAAAGAACCGACGTAAACGAACTTTACCTTATACACATCTAGATGTGTTCTCCTCTTCCATACCACTGCGTGCGCCTGTCCGCGCCTCAACGTCGACAGACTACGCATGCGTGTGGCATAATGCGTCATAAACTGAGATGTCACGTGATCGTAAGCGCGCCAAATAGATGGTTTCCACTTTAATTTTACGTTAGGGAACGTATATTAATAACAATGTTTAAAAATATATAATTGTCAAGGAATTCCAAAATATTTGACACGATCAAGGTGGAATAGGCCTCCTTTACGCCAATTTAATACTGTAGTAGGTGAAATATTATGACGCAGAATAATGTCAGCGTTTAATTCACAATATCATCGTTGTTACAAAAATACACCGCTATACGTATGCCTAGGCCTAGTAGGCCTACTTTTTATTTAAAAGAAGTTTTGAAATTGTAAAATTACGCTTAGCATTACGAGCTCCGATGTTCATTTACTTAATTTTGATTCTGACCTGTTAAACTACGGATAACAGTGATATGACGGCGTAAAATTAACCAGCAAACACATTAAATTTACGAATTCATCGTATATTTACATAGCAATTCCTTTTCTTTCTTAATACTGTACAATACTTAACGGTTTAGGTAGGTAAA